AGCGAGGACTTCATGAAGGAACTGGAGGATGGCTCCCTACCGGACGTGCCCGCGAAGCCCGAGGAGATCCTGCTGACCGATCGATGGGAGTTCCAGAGGTCCCTGCCCAAGGACGAGGGCGCCAAGGAGGGCTTCTGAAGATCGATAGTTTGTGCCAAATTTTTGACTGATGCTTTCTCCCCGGACTGGTTAAATATGTGATTGGCTGTGCAGCCTTTGCAAAGCATCGCAGATCTGCTTCGCAAGCTTTTCCGGCAAAGAAATGCGACGAGTTGCGGTCTGCAGGGGCTCAGGACCATCTGAGGAGGACAGAGTTAATTGTTAGGGAATGCTCAACTTTGCAGTTTGTGTGTGTGTGCCCTCCTGGTGTCCTTGTAGGGGACTCATCCTAATAGTTAAGTTATCGATGTCAAGAGAATTGAACACACCTACCACGTTCTCGTTAATGTAGACCCATGATCAATAGACCCCCTTTTAAGGGCCTTGATATTAGGATCCCTATTATAATCCCTATTAAGGGGAGGGGGTTTGTTAATCTGGGGTCTGGGTTAGGTAGAGCCAACCGTGAGCGCCGACCCTTGAGATGTCCTGTACCTCCACCGCCGCGACAGTTTCTTCATCTTTCATTTCAAGCGCTATATGCTTTCTTGCGACCTGGACCTTCTTTCTAGCACTCTTATTTCTAAGGCAATTACTTCCTGTCCTATTCACTTCTAGTACTGTCATTTCTCGAATTATATGGGTTGTTCTCAAAAACATGCCAAACCCCTTTGGCTATAGATTCTTACGGCACCTAATATTTACGGGTACCAAAATGGGACCCTAATTATGGGAACGACCCATATTGATTTGGTAGTTCAAGCCCCTTTGTGTGTGCAGGAGACGGCCGAAGTGCTGGGCTGGCCTCTCAGAAATTGCTGGCTGTGAGTGCTGTAGAGTTTAGGGTTTAGGGTTTTAGGGTGTCATGACTTATACTATAGTGAAGGAGTGGAAACATGGAAGCCACTACAGTAGGTTATTGGGCATACTATTGCGGCCACTATAGGAACTAACAGTGGGTAAGGAAATTCAATAGGTGAGTGAAGCTTTTTCAAGTTGGAGCCGTGGTCTTGTAACGCTAACTGTAAAGATAGTGGAAAGAGTCCGACAGCACGTAGAATAGCAAGGGCAAACATGGTACCATAAGGACCCACTCAAACCAAATCAAACCAGGTCTAAGCCATTATACCCTACTCGTCTACAACTGTCCCCAAGAGTGGACCTTGTTCGCACCAAAGTTTGGCCCAAACACTTTCTGATCTTACACCTTCAGCTTTCTTGCCTCAGTCATGTACAATCCATGCTTTGCCCCGTCCATTCCAGATCATTTGGAACCTCCACAGTCGTTCCTGCCAGAATCTGCAAAAACCACCGTATGAACCTCACCCTAAGGGTCCAAGTACCTAATAATCATATACTTACGCAAAACCTGTACTATAATTCCTATGGCCCAAAACCCAAGTACCCAATTATTGGGTACTTGGACCCTAAACCCTAAACCCTACATATCCTTTTTAAAGGGACCTAATTATTGGGTACATGGACCCTAAACCCTAAACCCTATATATCCTTTTAAAGGACCCTCTGGGTTATACCATCCTGAAAACCTGAGTGACAGACTTTAGGCACCTACAATTTGGGTTGGGCCCCCACCCACTAATAGCCGTCTACTAGGAATGTCTAAGGACCCTAATATAATTGCCATTACCTCTTGTGGTCACTATTAGTGGGTGGGGGCCCAACCTTACCTACAATTGTCTCAGGTAAGGTTCTCTGCGTTTTCGGCTGGTTGCTGGCTCTACTTCGAGCGCAGTTCTCAAGGGCTCTTAGGATCGTTATGTTGCATCGGGGTTTCCCAAAATTAGGAGGTGCTTTTTTGGGGGTCGCCTGATAGTATTTTGTGGTGTATGTTGGGGTCCCCCCCCCATTTACGGAGACTACCATATAGGGATATTATGGGGACATTGTAGGGATAAAGGGCCCAATCATGGAGAATCAAATGGAAAAGATACTGGACAAAGACATGGAGTCTACTATATGCTCGTCTTTGTTTTGCAACATTCCGCGCGGCTTTCTAGTGAAACGTGGGCGCTTTAGACGCCCGATGTGACTCATGAGTCGCCGCTTCTTTGCTACTGCCACAGTCGTTTGTGTGGCTGGAAATTACGGCTTCGCGTGATGCAGTCCTGCACCCCTAAGCCCGCAACCCTACAGCCCCTAAACCCACTTAGAATCCCCTAGGGTGGAACAGTCCTGATTTCTCGAGATTTCAGGCATGCGCTAGACTAGACCTACCCTGTAGTTCGGCTGATGACTGCGCGAGCATGCTGACGTCTATTACTAGTCCTATGTGTTTCTGCCAGAGTTGAATTGCTTACTGGCGGAGAGTGGGGAATAAGAGAATCTAGTATATATAGGGATTATACAGGGACTGTATTGCCTTAATTTTTACCAAAATCTCCTAACCACCAGTAATTAACATAGTCACGTCGCTTTGAGAAGCACGATGCCATTCTGCGCGGCGGGTGCTCGTTATACATCAGCACGGCAGGCTAATGCTCTAACTTGGGTTTAATTTAAGAATCACAAGCACGTGGGGAAGAGGAGCACAAACAACCGCATTGCAGCTTCCTGCATTTCATTTTTCTGCGTGATGCAAGTCTTTGTCAGTTTATGACGCTTGCGTCGTTATTGTCATCGACGGATACACATAAGTCGTCTAGTTCAATTGTGATCACGTGTCCCACTTCTCTTGCTTTGCTTCTCATAGTTCCAAGTACTAGAACCTGCGGAAGAGTCTTTATTGGTTGTTTTGGCAAGGTGCTCCTCACCGTGATCCCATGTGTCGGAGCCCCAGAATCTGCGCTTGTGAGCTTGATCTGTGCTAGGGGCCAGTCAGCTGTAGAGCCGTCAGTGGCACCGCAGATTTATGCAAATCGTTTAAGGTGTTGGCTTGGGCGGGCAATGCGAACATGCTGAGAACTACACCTACGCTTTCGCTGGAACATCTGGCCTGAAGGTCACTCATGTGGTGTCAGCCCACATTTGCCAACAGCACATTCATGACTCATCCTGATGCTGAGGGCCCTGTGCTTTAAAAGATACGTGCCGTTTCCTCTTTCCTCTTACCGGGCGTCTGCGTGCTTGAAGGTACTGCAGGAGGTTGTAGTATACAGTAACAACGTTGTCTGTTGAGTGGTGGCTGCGCGAACTGCTCAGATGGCACGCCGTGGGGCAGAGACCGGTGGACCCGCAGAGCCCTTCAGGCACCTGCATCTGGAGTTCGGTGCTCTTAGTTGAGGTCTTCGATCTTAGGTGGGAAGAGTGATCAAGTTTCCAAATCCCAGGGGCCTTTGTAGGAAGACATGGTGGTTGTTAGGGTTTTGTGACCACCATCGTGTCACAAACCTTGAAGCCTGAGACCCCAATGCCCTAGGGTTTAGGGTTTAGGGTTTAGCTCACAGCCGTAGACTCCTCAAGCCCTAAACCTCAAATGCCCACATGATGACCGTGGCAGCTTAAATGCCCTAATGTAGACCCCTGATTAATCAACCCCCTCCCCTGTATGGGGATTATAATAAGGAACCATATATCAAAGCTCTGAAAGGGAGGCAGTTTGTTAATCAGGGGTCTCCATTAATACCCTAAACCCTAAACCCATTAATCAAACCAGCAGCCAGAGGACGGAGCCCCCTCCTGCAGCGCCACAGCCAGAAGCAGAACAGCAGCGACAGGACCAGATACGAAGGATGTAGCACTTGGGGTTCGTGGGTCCCTTTTAGGGTGTAGGGTTTTAGGTTTGGGGGGGGGAGGGTTTTAGGGCTAAGGGTTGTAGTGTTTTAGGGTTTAGGGTTTAGTGTAGAGGTTTACTGTTGGCCACATGCTTTGGGGTTTATCGGTTCAATGCTCTGGTTGCCTGGTGGATGTGACCTGAAACCCCTGTTGACTCAAAGATTCGCTCGCCGTTCCGACGTCCACTCCTACCTCACAATAGCAAGTCACCGAGAGGCCCTGATCTAGGGAACGAATACTGCGAAGAGTTCCTGCAACTGGCAGCGTCAAGATCCGCAAATTCAGAAAATCTTCGCGACAGCCACAATGCATGTACCCCATTAAACGTTTTGAGTAAGACTGCCATGCTGCTTAGGGACAGGACTTTGTCTGAGTCGATGCAGCAAAATCATTTGAAAACTGCTGCGCGAGAATCCTCTGTCTGAAGCCTGAAGCTGCATCCGAGAGGAGGACCAGCCTCGCGACGCGAGAGCGGCAGTTCCATCCACACCGTCGGGGCTGTGCCCGGATGTGCCAAGGCGCATAGATACGGAGGGAGGGCCGAGGCTTGAGGGTTCCCTTTTGGGGATTGGAGGCTTTTGCAATCTCAGGGATGAGGGATTCGGCGGTGCAGCTTTGCATCAAGGAGGAGGGCGTCTCAGCAGTGCGGTTAAGTCTTGGTAGATCGCCCTCACAATTCATTGTACAGGACTCCATTGGAGTCCCGGATATCATGAAACATGCAAGATAGCCAAGTGGACGCCGAGCAGCGCAGAAACATGCTTCTTGAAAGGAGTCATATACCCGGGATCAGCCGGTAAATGTGTCGCTATAATTCTCTATATATAACCCTATATAATATAGTAGTTTTCATTTTATTTTCCATTATCCCAATATAGCCCCAATATATCCCCTATGTAAACCCTATATATGACAGGTATGACCCAGAGTCAGGGCGGTGAGCAGCCCCTGTGCAGAGATCCTGGAGGTGGTAGAAGGCTGCAGGTTGGGTGACCATGGTGTTCCCTGAGGGTCCAAGGACCCAAAATAATAGGGCCCCTTTAAAGGGGGTTCTAGGGGGATATAAAGGGATATAGGGGGACTATATAAGGGTCCTTGGCCTCAAATACTGTGATATCAATGGTATTTGGGCCCAAAAATGGACCCTTAGGGGTTGAGAAGAAGACAAAGTGAGCATCATGTATGAGGCCTGTTGTCTCACCCTTCCTGCCTCTCGTGGAGCAATCGTTTCAACAGAACTAGGGAGAAGGTCTTCTTGAGGACTTTGCTCCTTCACTTGCTGGTTCTTAGTAGCGTAGGGAATATGG